ATCCCACCACCCACTCGCGGCGCATCCTCAGACCCTTCCCAAAATGGTTGGGCCAGAACCGCCCCTATATATCTACTCAGGTTTGTCCTTACTCTCTGGCTCGTTACATAGTGACAAGGGTCCATTCCTTTTCTTTCCTCCACTCTCAGGCTTTCCCACCAGTCCCAGTCTTGCACGTTTGCCCTTCTTCCGTAGCTCGTCACTCAATAACGAGGATTCGCTCCCTTCCCTTTTCCTACTCTCAGCCATTTCTGACAGTCTCAGTCTTGTACGTTTGCCCCTCGTCGTTGGCTCGTTACTGGATGACGAGGATTGGATCTTTTTCCTACTCTCAGCCATTGACAGTTTCAGTTTTGCACGTTTGTCCTTTTTCTGAGGCTCCGTGGTGGAGGAGTAGCTTTTTTTCTCAACCTTTTCGTTCAGTCTCAGTCTAGAGCGTTTCTTCTCAGCCGGCACCTTCATTGCCCTTCTCTCTTTTTGACTTTTAATTGATGCTCGCTCCTCCTTGGCCTCCTCTTCCTCGCAAAACGTATTCATCTCCTCCCAATCTTCTCTGATAAATTTCGTTGGAGGATGTGTACACAACAGTGATAGGGACAAACTCGTGTCGACACTGATATTGTCTTGAAGAGGAAACAGGGGTGAACATTTCATCTGTTGCCGTTTCACAGATATGTTGAGGAGTTTTTGATACATCTGACGAACTCTTTTGGTCGCACCGGAGGACGATATCACAGGGAGTGAAGGTGCCTGTTTTATTGCTGCGCGGAAAGTTGTTATGAATGCATCATAACGAGCAGGGATGACATTTAAGCCGACATTGAAGTCGTCTAATACCATATTACACAATGAGGAGCATGTCTCACAATGATCAAGGTGAAGTTGAATCTCCCTCCATAGTCCCATCAAATTGCAATAACGTAAATCAGATCGTAGACACTGCACGAAGACTTGTAAATTATCGTAATCCACAGGCATTTGCCGCAAGAGAATTGTTTTTAGGAAACAAACAAAATAAATAGGAGCAGAATGATTGTGAATCGATTTGATCAACAAAAATAAATTCGTTTGGAATGATCCAGGATTGAAAAAATAAATCATTTCCAAAAAACCACAGAGGAACGAGTGTCGAAATTCGAAGCTTTCAATGGCAAAGAAATTCTTTATCCCGCAACTCCTGACGGATCGGCCCGCCCTGAAAAAATAAGTTATGAATAACGAAAAATTCGAGTATATGTTAAAAATAAGCAGGAAATTAAATAAAATTACAGATAGGGAAATTTAATTTCAGGAAGTTGATAACTTACATTGTCGAGTTCCTCAGGGGATACCCTGTTCGTGACTCGAGCAAAAATACTGGCTGAAACAAAAATATGACTGGCATGTTGATATATTCTCATATGTTGAAATATGTCATATGTTCCATATGTCATAAAGAAGATTACAAAAATTTCAACGGGATTGACCACGTAATTTTTGAGTTATACGTCGTCAAAAATTGATAAAATATTGAAATTTCAATTTTCGACACTGCATATTTCAAAAACGGCATAGTCAAAATCTAAATTGTTCTTTCTATTATGATCATCATCATCCATCATTCAAAGTGCAGATATCAAATGTTTCGATTGTATGAATTTTCTGAATGAAAAATACCAGTCGTGTTATGATATACACCAGTGTCTATCACTGCTCGATATGATTGCCAACATAACGAGCGAGTGTAAAAAAAATTTCCAGATGATTTCAGCTGAATTCATTGTTTAGACTGACATAGGAAAATCGGAAGGAAAAATCTAGATTCAAAATGTAGGAACCAGTGTGTATCATGTGGTTACTGATATACACCGGTGTGGGCCACGCAGGTGCTCATATACACCCGTGTATATGACTTTTTCGTTGACAGTGTTAGTGTTTGTTCGTGTTTATCATAAGTCACCCTAGATGAGGGAAGTTAGGATAATCGAAGATTGATTCCCTTCATGATTATAATACGCAGAAAATTACATGGTCAAACCTACCATGTTAACATGGTAAAAGAATTTCAAATTTCCCACTATGACAATTCCTACCATTCCACGTAGTAAAAACTATTATGGACCATGGTAAGCTCTACTATATTGAACATAGTAATAATCACACAGGTACGGGTACTAGATATTGAAATGCTTACTCAATGAATTTTTTGGCTCAAAAAGTTGCTCTTTCAATTCGGGTACATAGTTTCGTTCTCAAGATTTCAATTTTCAAGATTCATTATCGTGGGAACATCTATTTCATTCATTTGAGGAAAAAGGACAAAGTCGTATAGAATGGATTCTCTTTATTTTTCTATCAACGGAATGGATTCTCGAAATACATTTATTGGTTGCTTTGCGCTACGATAACTCGCTCCCCACAATTTCAGAAAATTGAAAAATTGATTTCTTAAAGCAAATTTCTTAAAATTCAGAGGACTCTCAGGTTCGTATTGTTTTGAAAAATATAGTGAATTGGGAACATTCATGAAAAAATTCTTTTGAATTTTTAATTAATAGTAAAAAAAAATAATCAACTGGAAGTTGAGGATCGTTCTTCCCTGGATTTTCGAAATCTGTTTTTTTAGCATTATGTGGATTTGAAAATTGGGAAGCCTCCGAATTTTTACGAAACAAACCAATAGTTTTTCAATGAAAACATCACATAATTTTCATGTAACTTTGTTCTTGGTGAAAATTTCAAGATCTTTCATAAAAGGAATGATCGAATAGGACAAAAAATAAGAACCTACTGGAATTTCAGATTATTGTTATTAGTTCCTAAAAATTCCATAGATTCATTTCAAACGAAATGATAAGAAACTTCATAAAATTAATTATCATTCGTTTCAATGATGAATATCAATGACAATCATTCTCAGATTGCTGCTGATATTGACTCAAGAATTCAGGAAGAGAGAGACGTCGCAAATAAGAAGAAGCAAACTATCCACCCAAAATTTTCATACTGTTCTTTAATTTCTGAACTTTTTCTCGAAATTTTTTGAAATTTTATCAATTTTTGCTGACTTTCTAGGAATTTATCGAATTTAGTCGATTGTTTTTCATACAGATCGTGAATTACGACGAATTTCTAGAAATTTCGAGTCAGTCTGAGTCATTATTCTTCTACCAAACGAATTATAATCTCCCAATAATATTAAATTAATCTGAAAAATGTAATCCCATGTATTTTTGAATCCTTCAAACGTTATCAGACTTATGAGATTATAGCCCGAGCCGAAGGCAAGATTTATGGAGTCACATATGTGGAATAGTACATTTCATGCCCGAGCCTGAGAAAACAGATCACCCTCCCCCTCCGTGCATATTGCCTTCCGAGCCGAAGGCGAGGATGGCAAGCACATAGGGGAGGGTGATATGTTTTCCCTGGCGAGGTGTGAATGTTATTTTTCGTGACGCCGCGACACGAAAAAATACTATTCATGACTTCGAGGTTATAATATATGAAGTACAGTTGCTTACCTGCCTGAAAAAACGTGATGCGTACGTGATCAGCTCTCCAATTTTCAGTTTTTTTATCTTTGTCTGTGGTTCGAAACTATTTTATAGCAAAAATGAAGACTATCTTTTGGAATTGATAAACAACACTAATTTGCCTAGTACTCTCCGAATTAGCCGTGTTCCCAAAGAACGATAGAATGGCCGCTGTGGTGTTGTCCGATGTTAAATCAGTAGGTACAAGTCCGCCTCTGGTGGCGAATCTTCAAAGTTAGTTTGGGAACACGGCTATTATTGTACGCTCGGGTCGGCAACAATATTTTAGGGGCGAGAATTTTCAGCGCGTCTTCTTCTTCTTCTACAATTTTTATAGCGCTGACTACTTGGTCTTGCGGCCGTTATCCCTCTAGAGTCCAGTGGGATCATTCTAGAGGAACGTTTCGATTTAACTGAGTGGTATTACCACTAGTCGGTATGGTAGATAATTTTTATGGTGGTGGATAATTATTTTTTTATTATCCGCTAGACAGAAGAAGTTTTGTCATATATATTGGGGTGGTAGTCGAGTGGTATCAGGCTCGTTCCAATCCAAGACAATTTTTTTGTGAAAAATACAGAGGCATTATCAAAATCGAAATTAAAATGGAAGGAATTGATATCGAATGAACAGCTTTCCAGTTTTGCTTACATTACTGCAATGTGTTGTTTAGACATAATTATATGGTATGTTCTTCGGCATAATAATTGTTGTATCAGAAAAAATGTAAGGCACATACTCCTACCCCAGGAAATCTAGCCATAGGAATGAAGGAGAAGAACAGATAAAATGCCATGAAAAGCGTAAAGTGCCATCAACAATTCTAATGAAAAATCGCGACAAATTAAAAATGTATGCCGGATAATATGTTTAATGTCAATTCTAGTTCTATAAAATTTACAGCTGTTATAACGGCTGTAATTTCGGCACTTACAAGTGTCTGTGATTTCATTCGCGACTACAATTTTTCCAAATGTAAGACTTGCTGGGGGTTAGAGTACTAAGCTGAGTGATGATGTGCACGTGCGTACAACAGCACCTCTGCTTGATTCATCATCAGGAATGTCTCTCATTCCTCCATTTCATTTCTATTTTTTGTTTTTCCCCTCAGTAACATTTTTTCCCCCATTTCCATCAGTGTGATTGGCAAGAAATCATATGGCTGATCCGTATGACCGTGCACTACCCGATTCTCTTCAGCGAAGGCTATTAAATCAGAGAACATCTCAGTGAAGCTGGGTGGATTATGTTGTCTGGTCTAGGCAGAATATTATGACATTGCGAATGAGACGATTTTTTTTTCACTTTGTGCAGTAGACAAGTTTAGAGCATTCGGTGATGTCAGCAGTGTAAACGGATATGACACGGCTAAAGATAAAAAATTATAACTCAACATGGAAACAAAAAATTGAAATGATCTTTATTTAGTAATGGAGTGTACAGTGTAGAGAATGGAAAATGTTCATTGTTATGACGATTTTTTCAAATGCAAGAAACATTCCTGATGATAAATCAGGCACAGGTGCTGTCCCACGCAGTTGTACATCACCACCCAGCTGAGTAGTCTACCCACAGAAAGCCTTTCTATTTGGAAAAATCGTAATGCCAATGAACATATCTAATAATCAATTATACGCATGATATAAAGGTATTATCTGCCATTCAATGCACGTGATTAGATATGTTCATTGGCATTACGAGGTTTCTACATGTAAGACTTTCCGGATATGAGATACTCAGCTGACTGATGATGTACAATCGTGAGCATCAGCCCCTGTTCTTGATTTATCATCAGGAATGTCTCGTACATTTCAAAACATCATGATAACACAGGACATATTCCATTCTCCACATGGTACACATCATTATTTAATCGGAATCATTTCAATTTTCTGTTCTCATGTTGAGTTATAATTTTTTATCTTCAGGCGTGTCATATTCGTTGACACTGCTGACGCCACCGAGTACTCTAAAGTTTTCTGCTGCACCAAGTGAACAAAAAAAAATCGGCTTATTCCCAATGACTCAATATACTGCATGAAACAGACAATATAGTCCATTCAGTTTCATTGCGATGCTCTTTGATTCGATAGCAACCGATGGAGAGAATCGGGTTGTGCACGGTTATATGACTTCTCGCCAATAACACTGATAACAATAGGGAAAAAATTATAATTGAGGGTGAAAAAGAAATTGGAATTATATGGAGGTATAATCTACTATAATTGGACATTTACATTGCTATTACGATTTTTCTGCAATGCAAGAGATATTTCCAATGACTTTAATGCAGGTGCTGATGTACGCAGGTGTACATCATCACACAGCAGAATATTCCGCCCCGGAAAGTCTCACATTTGGAAACCTCATGATGCCAATGAACATATCTAAATACAAACATTATTGAGTAGATTATTTCTTCATATCATGCGCATAATTAATTATTAGATATGTTCATTGGCATTACGATTTTTCCAAATGTAAGGCTACCAGCCTGGGTGATGATGTACAGCTGGATGATGATCAGCACCTGTGTTTCTTCTCATGGATTTCAATTCATTTCATTTCATTTCTGTTGATTCAAGCCCAAGTATTGATTCATGCAAATGCACATCAGCACCTAGCTGAGTTTTTTATCAAGGAAAAGTTCTATTGCCATGAATGCCAGACCGGATGTGAATTATCAATTATTCTCTTAATAATGGAATTCTCATGGTTCCCGGAATTTCTTTCCCCAACAAAAATTTCCCGGAAAAAATTTCCCCATCCAAAAATTACCCCGGAGAAAATTTCCCCGGGTAAAATTCCCACCACAAAAATTTCCCCGGAAAAAATTCCCCGTACAAAAATTTTCCCAGAAAAAAATTTCTCCTCATTGCTCTTTCTCCCAACATAATTTCATTGATCTACATACTCGAATATCGATCCTCGAATATCGATTAGTTACAAAATGAGTGTTTCGATTTTTTTTTTTGAATATATGACTGTTCCCTGTCTTTTTGACAGAATTAATGTGAGAAAAATCTCAATGAATTAATCATCAATCTGAATGAATTTTAATTATGTATGTATTTATGTAAGTTTCCGATTCAATTTTTGAATTTGAAAATAAATGCAATTCTTAAACTTGAAAATTCTTGAGCTTGTCCGTGAACCTCACGAAATCGCCGAAATCATGATAAAGATACGTGACCAACATACATCTTTGGGATTGCAAGAAAATTGGTTTTGAGTTGCAAACATAACGACAGAATTCAAATTCTTGTTTGAAATTTTCCAATGACTAATTATTAAATTTATTTTTTAAATTTATTTCAATACTAAAATTTATGTTTTAAAACTTTTTTTTGAATATTAGCAGCGGGTAGTAGCGAGTTTCAAAGCTCATCTGAATTGAAAAAATTCCGCAAAAACAGAAAAATGATCGCACCTCTTGATGTCATATAACAATACAAAAAATTCAAGAGGAGGTGATCGTCGGTGTACTTCAAAACTTCAGTAGAATCGCCCTCCGACGATTCTACTGAAGATGTATCCAAGGTTTCGAAACCCTCCAAAAAAAAAAAAATGAAAAAATAACCCGTTGAAATCATAAGTTTCAATAAAACTTGAATGAAACATAATTGAGTGATCTGTCTAAACTATAATTCTCTTACTCATCTAGGTATTCCAGGTGTAACTCTACTGTTTTCAGATGCAAGAGATTTTCTGATGAAAAACTCTCAGTTGGGTGGGGATGTACTTTGGTGTGCATGGTCACCTGATCAGATTCGCCCTCCCAGAAAATCTACATTCGAAAACATAAGGGTAGAATATTCAGCTGGATGATGATGTACACCAGCCTACAGCAGCACCTGTGTTTTATTCATCATTCAGCACGTCTTACATCTTAAAAAATCGTCATAACAATGAACATATCTAATTATGCGCATTATATAGTAGATTATAGTAGATTATTACTTCATATCATTTCTTTTCTTTTGTTTAAAACATAATACCGATGAACATTTTTAGATTTGCGCATTATTGTAGTATATTATTCCTCTATATAATTTTGATCGCAATGAATCAATGGATCGTTATAATGTTCTCAAATGAAAGGGATTTTCTGGGAGGGCGTATTTGATTGAGTGATGATATACACCGGTGCATATCATAACCTTAGGTTTGGCGATGCCAAACGCGATTTTTTGGACCGTATAGCCCGTTAGAATAGGTCGACACTTCGACGTTGTGGCGCTGATAGCGTTTTTGGTGTTGTGTGGTCATTTTCAAGTCTAGTAAATTCCAGAGGGCTCGTAGGTAAGTTGCCCGTGGAGTGCTAAACCACTCTGCTCTGTAAGTGCGGGATATTCGAAATAAAGTTTTAACACATTAAACACAGATTTGAATAACACAAATAATTCTTTGTATTTAATTAATTCTTCAGTAGTCCAAAACTCGAGTTCACATTATTTTCACAGTCAAATTATTCTTCAAAACTCTTCACAATATTGTCTCTTCTCAACTTTTAATTTCACAATTAGATCTTTACGTCTCAAAACTTGGGATAGGAGTGATTTCTATTTCTAAAATTCTAACTTCTCCTCGATCGTCCACTCGGTCAAGCATCCATGAGGTGTCAACAATTTTGGGGGGCGGAGGGGGTTCAACGAATCATTTTGCAAGAAACCCGAAAATTCATCTTGAGGGCGGTGGTCAATGAGAGGGCACTGAGAGAAGGGTGGCCGCACGTCCCTCGATGGGGAACTATTTCCAGGTAAGAGGCCCGCACCCCGACCCAGAGGATTAAAGCAATAAACGATCTAGAAACTAAAAATTCCCGAGGTGAAGACCAGATGTGGAAAAGAGGGATTAACTCAATGACGGTCGCGGGGAAAGTCAAAACAATCAGCACACTCCAGAAAATTTACCCCGAATGTTTTATTACATGAATATTATTTATGATAGGCAAAAACCCGACTCGAAACCTCTGGGTTTACTTTGGGAAAAGAACACGTGGTTAGAAAAATGCAGCTGCGGGAAAATTCCCTCATGGATGGCCTCACGAATGCGTCGAACCTTTTGACAATTAAAATGACATAAAACACATAATTCTCTATTAAAATAATATCTAAAAATCTCAATAAATCTCCCTCAATACTTATTATGGATTCAAATTTCCACTAAAATCTAGGGAACATGACGACCTCCCTAGAGACCCTAATTGTAACTAGTTGTCTACACAACATTGGCATCGCCTATCCCGCCATCTAGATAGTAAATCTCTAACTTGGTACGTAACACTATCTTCTCACTCTTAGTCACAAGACTCACAAGTAACCTCTAAAATTCCACAATGCATTCGATTTGCTAGAAACAAGGTTGCAAGTACTCTTCCGAATAATTAGATCGAATAATTTGGACAATAAAAATATATTCGGAGTCGTGATACAGTGAAAAAGCAGAGGAACTTGCTATTGACAGTCCATAATTAAGATTATGGTATCCATTTCTCACATTGTGATATAAGTAATATTAATAGTATATCACGCAATAAGTGCGTAATGGGTTTTCTGGCTTCTGGGAAGTTGTAAAACGAGCCGAAGCCGAGTTTTACAATTCCACGAGTAAAAAAACACCATAACGCACGAGTCTCGTATATATTTTATATTGCGTGATTCTTGGCACCTATGACATAGAAGTAATATCAACCCAATACCTGAATTCATTTTACGTTTACAGTTTGCCAAGTTGTTTGTTACTGGTGAGAGCATTCGCAGTGAAGGAGAGATGGCTGTGATTGGATCAGCAGAACATTGCTCCCTACAACTCAAGCAACCAGTAAGTGTCCATATCCTTGCTACGCTTAAAAACTGTTTTAAATTATTCGGGCTTGAATCAGAGTCTAGGGGGTTCTTTGAAGTGTTATTTATCGTAAAATTTGTTTGTTTATTGTTCCAAATGCGTGAATAAACAAATATTGGGTAAAATAGAAAGGAATTTCCATGTCCCAATGATTGGCAATTTTCCAAAATCAGGAAAACTTTATATACCAGTCACTGGCACCCAAAGACCCAATTACTGGCACCTTGATTATTTCTTGTAGGGGGATAATTTCATTCCTTCAGGAGATATCTGATTTAATCAATTATTGTACGCACCAACACCTAAGAGAGAGTATAGCATTGTTTATCATTGTATGTGCTCGGAAAATGTCTACGAAAGTTTTCATAAGTTGAGTACATATGTCAGAAATTAAAATGTCAGTTATTGGGACGCTGAAAGTACAAGTGAATCGAAACAAAAAATATGACGAGAGAATCTGTATCATCATACTGAGTATTTACACTTGGCTTCAGATGTCATCCTAATGATGTTTTTCCGTATTTTCTTAGGACATTGCAAATGTTCACGCTTTGATTCGGCGGTCACCTTTTGGGTTTTTGGTTATGGACATTGCGAGCTCAAACGGCACGTTTGTGGATGACGTAAATAAATGTAGTGTTTATATGAAATCGAAAATTATTTGTTTCATTAGTATACATGAATAAAGCTGAGTCCATCGTTATCTTAGTTAAATCGTGGTCTTGATCAGTTCTCCAATTACGTCAAACCGTTTTTCATTTGCAATCTATAATCCCATTCATTGTGAAATCAAGATGATGACGCCTTGAAGTGACTACTGATAACAAATTGAATTTATAATGTTTCAGGTCAAACTGCCCCCTTTCTCTCCAATTTTGATTGATAAATCGTCTACCATTCACTTTGGCGAAGTCCAGGGATTCCTCACAATTCACCAGAGAACACGTCATCGGATCCTAGCTAATACCTGGTTGCTCGGAAAATTGAATCCAAAAGTTTGCTGCAAATCCTGTCGAAAGGTTCGGTTACCATGTGTGGACAATCTGCGAGGGAAAGGAAATAAACGTAAACTGATATCAGACTCCAGTGATGAATCTAATGGAGATGAGAGTAACCTTTCGTCAAGAGAAATACCAGTCAACAAGAGAAGGAGATGCGAATAAAAAAAGTTTTTCATATCTTAAGAGCAAAGTATAATGAAATTCAATGAATTGATATATGTCAGTAATTCACGTATTGTTCACGGGAAATTTATATCAATTATTTTCCCATCTCAATTTACAAGAGTGGTATCATGTAATAATTAACTAAAAGCGAATGATTTCCTAATAAAATCATGATAAGTATAATCTCAGATTATGATAATGGTCATCATCAAGAGTCACTTATGATAAATACGAACCGACACGGAAACATTGCGAACAGAAGCTGATGCACGCCAGTGTACATCATCACCCCGCTGAGTATTCTACCACACGGAAAGTCTTACACTTGGAAAAAACGTAATGCCAGTTAGCATATCTAACAATTAATTATCTGACTGATATGAAGGAATAATTTACTATATAATGCGCGTGATTAGAGATATTCATTAGCATAACGATGTTTCTAAATGTAAGACTTTCAGAGGCAAAATATTCTGCTGAGTGATGATGTACACTGGCGTACATCAGCACCTTTGCTTGATTCAGCATCAGGAATGTCTCTTGCATATATTTCTAAACATCGCGATAATAATAGACATACTTCATTCTCTGCATTGTATACTTGATTATCCAGTAGGGATAATTCCCATTATTTGTTTCCATGTTGAGCTATAATTAAAATAATTTAATAAATAAATAATTTTTCATCTTCAGCCGTATCATACCCGTTGACACTGCTGACCCCACCGAGTGCTCTAAAGTTTTCCGCTGCACAAAGTGAAGAAAAAAAGTAGTCTTATTCCGAATGACATAATATTCTGCATGGAACACACAATATAATTCGTTCGGATATGTCCATTGTTATCACGATTTTTTTGAATGTAAGACATTCCGGATGATGAATGAAACACAGGTCCTGACGCACGATATTGTACATCATCACCCAGCTGAGTATTCTACCCCCGGAAAGTCTTACATCTGGAAAAAACGTAATGCCAAAGAACATCTCTAATCACTCGCATTGTACAGTAGATTATACTTCCATATCAGGCGCATAATTAATTGTTAGATATGTTTATTGGCATTAAGATTTTTCCAAATATAAGACTGTCCGGGGGTGGAATACTCACTGGGTGATGAGGTACACAGGCGTACATCATCACCTGCGTTCAAAACATCCTTCGTAATATGTCTTAGATTTCAAAAAATCGACATAACAATGGTCATATCCAATTATGCGCATTAAATAGTAGATAATTCCTTCACGTCATTTCTTTTTTTTTGTTTTCACCTTAGTTATAATTTTTTTTTGTCATTGTCATCAGTGCTATTGTCAAGAAGTCATATGGCTGATCAATATGACCGTGCCCAACCCGATCCTTTTTAGCGGAGGCTATCGAATGAAAGCACATCATGAAGAATCCGAATGGATCATATTGTGTGCTCCATGCAGAATATTATGTCATTGGGAATAAGACCATTTTTTTTGTTACTTTGTTCAGCAGAAATGAGAGACTCTTCAGGGGGTTATATCCTCACGTGTGATGATCTACTTCGCTGTTCATCATCAGTCTGCAAGCATCTGATGAATGGTCCCAGCACTTCACTCCACGTGAACGGTGGCAGCCTTGGTGCTGGCTCATCAAAATGTTTAACTCGATGGAGATTTCCCCTGATGAACCTGAAACTATCGCCCGCTTCGAGCCATTATATGAACAAATTTAATAATACTCGGATTTGGTATCTGAAGGGGGCAACCCCAAATCCTATTATAAAAAGGAGAAAGAGTCGATATCGAAATATCTCGAAACTCGAGACGCTGTTACCGTAAGACCGAAACTGACATGCCACCACGCCAAGGACTCTATTCGAGAGTTGAAAAATACCGATTGTCGATAGACAGAGTGTCGATAAGGTATGAATGATCAGTTGGATTCCATTATATCGTTTTCCACCTCAGGTCGGCTGGTCTCGGATCGGTCAGGGGGCCGATCTTTGATTTTATCACGGGGCAAGTCGCCTTTTTTAAATATGGCTTCTATCCATCAAGTTAAGGTCCATTTCGTCTATTTTCGGCCCTAGGGCGATTTTAAAACTCGCGAATAAAACGCGTTATAACTCATTCTGATCGTTGGAGAGGCTGAGAAACACCAGGCAGTTCCTCACTCGCTGTGGTCAGCAGCAGCAGGAGCCCAGGTCATTCTAGTTCCAAAAATGATGTGTCGGATGGAAATGAAACTTTTGCAAACTATTTGCTGATAATGAATCACAATTACAGACGGGATAAAACGCGTTATACCTTATTCTGATCGTTGGCGAGGCAGAGAAACGCCAGGCAGTTCCTCACTCGCTGTGTTATAGCAGGAGACCAGGTCATTCTGATGCAAAAAATAATGCTTCGAATAAAAATGGAACTTTTGCAATCTAATTGCTGTTAACAAATCGCATTACTTGACCAGAGGTGGGGAACATTTCTCTTGTACACCGGTGTATGTTAATACCTCAACGCAAAAGAAGAATTTTTTTTCTTCAATTTCCAGTTGGTCAAAAATTGCATAAAATTTGCCAAATCGTCTCATAAATAAAGTTATAGTTTTATTTTTCATTTTCAAATATTAAGGTTAATGAATTAAAATTTATTAACCATGACATAATACACATGTTAATAAAAATCAGACGATAGAATGGCCTCTTGATGCAGATCCATTGTACACAGGTGTACGTTAACACGTCAACGCAAGAAAAGGATTTTTTTTTCTTCAATTTCCAGTTGGTCAAAAATTGCATAAAATTTGCCAAATCGTCTCATAAATAAAGTTATAGTTTTATTTTTCATTTTCAAATATTAAGGTTAATGAATTAAAATTTATTAACCATGACATAATACACATGTTAATAAAAATCAGACGATAGAATGGCCTCTTGATGCAGATCCATTGTACACAGGTGTACGTTAACACGTCAACGCAAGAAAAGGATTTTTTTTTCTTCAATTTCTAGTTGGTCAAAAATTGCATAAAATTTGCCATATCGTCTCTTAAATAAAGTTAAAATTTTAATTCTAATTTTCAAATATAAAGGTTAACGAATTAAAATTTATTAACCATGACATAATACACATGTTAATAAAAATCAGACAATAGAATGGCCTCTTGATGCAGAGCCATTATACACCGGTGTATGTTAGTACCTCAACACAAGAGGAGGATCCTTTTTCTTCAATTTCCAGTTGGTCAAAAATTGCATAAAATTTGCCAAATCATCTCTTAAATAAAGTTAAAGTTTTATTTTTTATTTTTAATTATTAAGGTTAATGAATTAAAATTTATCAACCATGAGATAATACACATGTTAATAAAAAATTGGACGATAGATGGGCTCTTGACGCAGAGCCATTGTACACCGGTGTATGTTAACGTCTCGGCGCAGAGGATTTTTTTTTTCTTCAATTTGCAGTTGGTCAAAAGTTGCATAGAATTTGCCAAATCGTCTATTGAATAAAGTTAAAATTTTATTTTTTATATTCAAATATCAAGGTTAATGAATGATAATTTATTAACCATGACACAATAAAAATGTGCATAAAAATCAGACAATAAAATGGCCTCTTGAGGCAGAGCCATTGTACGCAGGTTTATGTTAACACCTGAGCGCAAAGGATTTTTTTTTCTCTTCAATTTCCAGTTGGTCAAAAGTTGCATAAAATTTGCCAAATTGTCTCTTAAATAAAGCTAAAGTTTTATTTTTCATTCGTGGAATTTTAGGAAGGAAAAAGTATGTCCTGAGGAATTCAGAGGAGGTTTTGCTTTGACGTCTGTCAAAAGTGCAGGTAGATGCGATTCGGTTGTCATCTCGGTTGGCCGTCGAAGACTGAAGATGAGTCCAGCCTGGAACATCCAGGAATCGTGCTGAACAATCGGAAAAGTTGAAAAAAGTCAACAAATGAAAAGATCAGTCAAGAAATTTTAATCACGCATCATTTAATTGTATGTACCCCCTCTACTGGGTTCCCACTTTGTCATAGTGAGGGGGCTCGGTCGCGGGCGGTGGAGGTCTTAAGGACTACCGCTGCCCGCGGTCGCTAAGAGGAGTCCACCCAATCCATGTGTGTGAGCGGCGTAAGCCATGGCCTCGGCCATACCGTGCCTAAGGATGCGTGGCACAGGGGGAGCTGTGTCGCTAACGGTGCCTCTCAGAAACCTGGGCGACCTCTGAGAGTAGTCTTGGGTGTAACCCACCCGAGACAAG